CATGTGGGACACTGTCAAATGCCTTGGCAAAATCGAGGTACACTGCATCTACTGGCTCCCTTTCGTCCAGCAGGCGGGGCCATTCGTTCAGAGTCGACAAGAGGTTAGTGGTGCAGGATCTCCCGGCAATAAAGCCATGTTGACAGTCTGATAGGAGATTATTAGCAGTCAGATGATATATCAATCGATCCCTCACAACAGATTCCATTACCTTGCAAACGACACTTGTCAAACTGACAGGGCGATAGTTGCCCGGGCGATTTCTCTTGGACGATTCTACGGCCGGTATTGCGGCCGGTCTCGCGGCCTGTGTCCAAGATTCAGTGAACATGAAATATCTCCCAAACTAATAAAAACAAGTCGATGAAACTTTTCACATGCGTTTATTTAGCCATGAGGGTGATGTTTAGTTTTATTTTATTTTGCCTTCGTATCCAACTTATACAGACTTGAGGGCCAAAATTCGAAGTGAATATTACATAGTTTCTGAACTACTTGACATATTTGAACGAATAGTTAAATAAAAATTCATAATCACCTAACGGCGATGTTAACCTCGTGCCTATGTTTTTTCATTTATCCTTCATTCGCGAGTTATACGACTGTACGGAGAGCGACCGGTGTTTCCGCAGCCGATTGTCAGATTTGAAGTAACATGAAATATCTCCCAAACGTTCCAATACAGGGAACGTGAAACAATGAAGAATATCCTTAAACAATCGTAATATTCATAAAAGCACCCTCGAATTTATTTAAAAACGACCGTAACAATAAACTAAAATTATGGAACTGTTGTTAATTGTAAACAAGCAAGATGAAGTTTTTTTATACCAATTTGGTCATTTTTATGAATAAATAATCACTGATGTTGCAATATTGGCGCATTCGATGTTTTTACAAATTATTTGCTTTCCAGTACCTAAAATTGGTTGCCAACTCTGCCTTAGATGGCGATCTGCGCTTCTCCTGCCAGTAGCTACCGGTAAACCTTCTATTCTCTCTGTGTACACTTTTCTTGTCATTCTCGGACCCAGAACTGCTAATAAAATTTTTGTACAAGAGTCGACTGCTGGAATCAAACTGGATTCATGACGGTGTTTGGGCGCTAGTACTCTCATCGATGCTGCGTCATTTCTTAATCATGTATAGTATGGAAAAATCCATATCGCCATCTCATTTGCGAGTAGAGTAAAGTCTATCCTAATTAGTGAAGAAACGCATAGGGAGGAGCCCAGCCTGTTCGAAGCCTCTCGGGTCTCAATCAGGGCCTATACTTTCAAAAAAAGTTAAGAGATCGTAAGTTGACGGCCTTTCAATCAAAATCCACCAATCGCATACAGGAAAATAGAGCGTAAGTACTTACGTTCACTTAGCGAGTTTTGATAGTATGGCCCCAGGGTCTTAATCAGTTCTTCAAGGCTAACGTTCTTAATCACTGCCATAGCAGTGTGTTCACAGATGAGGACATACAGTATTCCAGATATTGAGGAGCGCCCAGTCGGCTCGAAGTTAATAGGTTTTTAAATACTCGAAGAAGAGGTTCTCGAGTGCCTGGTAGCTCTAAATCCCAACAAGTCATGTTGAACACACGGCTTGCATCCCAGATTGCTCAGAGAATTAGCAGCCGTACTGGCCGGCCCATTGACCGTATTCTTTCAAAAAAAAAAAAACTTGAACGAAGGAACTTTGCCGTCCGATTGGAAAGAAGCTCATGTAACACCATTGTTCAAAAAAGGTGACAAAAGTAGCCCCGGTATAATATTTAGTTAAATTAATAATTATACCCTATGTATGAGATGTCATGTTCAGACAAAATAATTAACCATGTCGGCTACAATAGAAGTGAAGGTAGAACGAAAATTCCATCGAGGCTGGAGTTGCGAGAGCCGACAATTTCAGAAACCATGCAGTATTTCAGATACCATGCAGAATTTTTGATACCATTTACAGCATTCCGGATACCATACAGCTGGTATCTGAGAAGCTCTAATTATTCATCTGAAATGTTTCAATTTTCGATTCGAACCATTCACTGTTATGATCACGATTACTGAAGCGAAGAACTTTTTCACCATATATTTATATGGTTTAACGTATCGATGTAAAATTGTAAATTATGCTACAGATTCACTACAATGATTTTCAAGTAAATGCTCGTTGTTCAGTTAAAAATCGTATTTGTCAAAACCTCATGTCTTTTGCAACTAAGTTACCGACGGATGCCCCACGCTCTAATGAACTTAAAAGGAATTCAATTTTCAATAAAATATTCGTTTAGTGATCACTTTATTGCTTGACTGCTGAAAAAATCATCATATATTGGAAAGCATATTGTAATGTATAGTTTTTGAAGTGAAAACGTTACAGGGTGCTTTATCAATTCCTCTTAAACCGTTCATATCTAATTTAGTTCTGATGAATTTTCGCTACTTATTCCCCTAAGGAGTCAGTTTCGCATTTGGCTAACATTATACTGACTTTGATGTGAAATATCTTATTTTTTAGTCTTATATAGGGTAAAATGGGGCAAAGGGACCACTGCGGGTCAAAGGCCCATAGCGGGTTTCTCGCTAAGCATGGCAGATATTGGTCCGTGTTCTCTACCGCCGGTCGACAGTTTCACTGGGATGAAGTGTACGGATTTACTTTTTTGCTAAGAGTTTGCGTTATTAAGTTATTTGTGAATAACTGTTTTAGCCCAGATAAAAGTTTTTTTGCTGCTAAATAAAACTGTTTTCGATTACTGTCAACAAAGATTTTGAAATTACTTTGAATTATATTTTGAAAGTAAAATTTATAGGGAGAATTTTGAGATCAAGTTTAGACTATTAGCTCTTAAAATAAAATGTTGTCACGATATAAATTATAATGATACCTATAGTGGGGCAACGGGCCCATGCGTGTCACGGGGCAAAGCGCCCATGGTGGGCTCCATACCCCTCAGTGTAGTCATGTGTTATACATCATTAGATTTGTCTCAATGAGCTTTTCAAAACTATGACTAGCTTTTTGAATTAAAAATTACACTTCATATTACATGATTTTTTTTATTTGCCGCCTCAAGGCAGCAGTTTAGTTTCTAGTTATGCGTATTTATGGCCCCTTAGCGAGTTATTGACTTGTCTTGCCAAAAGTTGATTTCAGTCAACACCAATGAGCCAAAAGTTGATGAGTTTTTATGGGGTTGGCTGAAATCACGAATAGGTACGAATTCTCTGCACGTAATATCTGGCTTATGGACGAAACTGGAAAGACGTTTTTTCTGATCAACTAAATATATTTTGTCAAGTCAAGAATACATTTTTTCATGTCAAGGACGAATTTTTTATCGCAAGGATATATTTTTCAAGTCAAGAACATATATTTTTATGTCAATGAAATATTTTTCTTCACGTCAGTGAAAGATTTTTTAGGCCAAGAGTATATTTTTTCGAGTTAAGGATATGATTTTTTGAGTTGTTAATAGATGAATGAACGTCATATTTTTTATCGCATTTTTCTTATTTTTAACTGTAAAGTGTTGTTTCAGTTTTAAACGAAAAATATGCAATTGTGGTAAAGGGACCAAGGGCCTTGCCCCAAGCCCATGGGCCCATTGCCCCAGGGGTGGGGCAGTGGGCCCATTTTGACACTTTTTACGAAATAGTGTTTCATTAAAAATTGAATAACTCTATAGTCTATAGGCGTCTAATTCACATCATGCATTCCTCATTAGCTGTACCTTTAAACAAAACAAAGAACCACCTTGTATCAATTAAAACTTCATCAAAAATTTAGTTTAAAAAAAGGGGGGGCCCGCTGCCCCATGTTACCCTAACCAACCAGCTTTAAAACTTTTTGAATCAGTTTGCTATGATACTTTCTTTAATAACCTATTTGCATTGAGTTTTTCAGAACCAATATGCCTTAAAACACCTATAATTCTTTTTCCCTTGATTTTGATTAGATATATAGTTTTCCTGATAAGGTATTTCTCTCTAGTCTAGAGAGGATCAGTTTCGCAGATCACGCGTCTGGAGTCGGAGCACAGCGTGTTGGAGAAGCGGTACATCCAGATGGAGCTCAGCTCCAGGCAGTTCTCCACGCCGGGGTTGTTGGGTTCTGGAGCGCCTACACCGCTCTGTTATAATAAAAACTGAGTATAGTAGGTATTATTTTTATGATAGCGTTGTTTCACGTGAACGATCGAATTATAAATTTCTTCGAAATTAAATCATTTTAGCTTTAGGGTATCGAAAAAATTAATATAGAAATGATAATACGTGTACAATCCAGTCTGACGAGGTTCATTTAATAGTCACATTTCATCTTCATCAGAGAAGTTTTAGCCGATTCATCTTATATTAACTGTGACATCAAGGGCTGCTCGATGGTGATAAATCAAACCTGTTGCGTGGCACAAAAGGGCACTATTTCGTAGGCTTGAAATGACTTATTGGCTGCACTCGGTAAGTCCTCGTGTTTTTAACTAACTGCCCCATCTTTTTTCTTCAATAGAGCTACCCCTACAAAATTCGGAGACCCCCTAGGCTTCTGGGGAATAGTCACTACACCCGGCGTAAAGTTGTTCTGGGTCTGCTTAGCCACCCAATTGAAATCAGTTTCTAGTCAGAATCTCTTAATATCCGACTATATTGTCGCGTGAAAGTATGAGAAGGGTTGGCCGAGCCGAGTCATACCGAGCTAGCAACCGGCGCAGAGTCCGCCCTTCGAACCCTGAGCCGAAGCGGACATGGAAAAGCCGATTTACGTGCTCCCCAAGTCCTAGGCGACACTAATGTCGGATCGCGAACGCCTCTAAATTTTGTTGGGGTAACTCGCCCAGCTAAATTTTTTCCCTTGTGAAATAACAGTTCAAAGATTATATTTTTTAATTTTTGCGTATTTTTACGAATAAGGTAACTCACATTTGCCCAATATGGCCGTCCCATGGCCATCGGCGAACCGTCAATCCAGAGCCATTGCCCCTCCTGGGCTAAATCCGATCCGCCGATCCAGAAACCATCGGGTACGTCCTCTTATGACGGATAAATAAAAAAAAGATTACAAAAATGAATAAATTATAACTTCTAAATAATATAAATGTCGCTGTTGTTCCGCTGTGACTCACTAGGTCTTAAATTATTCTCCTCTGTAAATATTTCGAGGTAAACTCCAGGCACAATGGTGCAAACTAACAGTTAAAATGTAACAAAAAATAAATAAAATAACTTACGACAAATCTTGGATATTATTCCTGGAATCTCCCTACCTAGCTCGACGAGGTACAAGTAAATCTGGCGGAACTGTTCGCAGTCGTCCAGAATGATCAAGTCTCCGCCAGCCAACGCGCAGCGAGAGCGCGCGTCCTCCCAGTGGTAGTAGAAGGTGAGTATGTGGATACACTGCGTGCCCACCAAAACATACTGGCTTGTGCATTCACCTGCAAACAAATTATCTTGCTGACACTGTATTTGAAATAAGAGTAAAGTTTCGTGGTTTAAATATACATTAGATATGATTCAGTTTCAGTCGCATAATGTACCAGAATAAATAAAATCTTGCGAGGCTTACATCATTCTAGTACCCATGGGTGTCCCGCCAATCGTCTTTGATCCTTGCGAATGCTTGTCCATTCGCAATCAAATCATCTGTGGTAGCTGTTAAGCACTGAGAAACATGACAGGGGCCTTGTCCAAAAATTTATGCAATTTTTACACTTGTGTTGATCATCCTGCTTTAGTCTGGCGATGTAAATAGGCGTATTAGTGCTGCGTTTGCTTTCCATTAGTGTTTCGTTTGCTCTGCCATTATTTGGACAATCACCGGTTTATTTTCTGAGTGTAAAGAAATAAGTATCCCACCATCTACAGGAGTCCTCGAGCACACAGAATGGAAGGTCCCCGCGGGGCTACAAGGACCGTCACGAAATAACCACCCAGAGTTGGGGTCGATGTAGGCACAGTTCTCCCCTGGTCCCCCCACGGGCTCCACGTCTGCCCCCAGTCCAGCATCCTACCGATAAATAATAATAATCAAGGATATACTTCATCAAATTTTTCTTTCGTCAATAATACTTAACAGCTATTTTCAACAGAGTACGCGTGCTGAATAAATTCTTAATCTCAACTACAATGATAAAAACCATTATTTTTGGTTGAAGTAATGGTGAGATTCAAAGAAAATAATTCAGAGGTAACAACGTGTGCTTTTACAATAAGAATTAGTTTAAGTTAGTAGAATAATAATTAAAATAAATCGTCGGTGCTATACATCACGACATGCCACTTTCATAATATAATCCCCATCTTATTATAAAACCGTCTTTTTTACAACATGATTATGACATCATTTACACACTTCGCTATCATAATCAAATGTTGCACCCGGTATACTAGTAAACAAAATTCTCCTTCATTTGAAAAGATAATAGATATATAGTATACCTTTTAAATGCCTGTATATATATAACTTTAAAATGCCTATAGTTACTGTAGTGGCCACGCCTTGTAATGCTCACTGAAGTTTATGTTTACTGCGCCGCACAACACCGATGTAGCACGTTTCATTCTCGGTTGACTTGGTATGTATCGTACTTAATCAAAGATTGCTACAGGCAAGTAGCCTCATCACCATAGCCTCAATAGGCTAAAATTTGTTTGGTGTCATTTATGATACACGGGGCACCTAAGGATTAAGTCACTCACGAATGCCCAGTACGGAGCGCCCATCTGCACAGCCGAGCCGTCGCTCCACTGCCAGACGTGCGTATCCGAAGAGTTGGTGGCGCCTAACCAGTAGCCGTCGTTGGCATGTGTTGTGGCTGATGGAATATAACGTCATATAATTAGCAGGGGACTGTACGTGAGTTAAACTCTTAAACAAGAAATTGTTGCAAAGCAATTTCATAAAATGTTTATAAATTTTGATGATATGGAGAAGCATATTGTATTATGTATGTATATTAATCATCTCGGAAGACTCGTATTAGTGATGAGATTTTACATACACAATACAAAAATTCACAATTTATTTTATACACGTTACCTTCTTCTTAAATTGAAAAAAATGTTGAGAGAATTTCATCTTAAAAATATTAGTATTTTACGCGCTGCATTTATATTTTCAATGTTTTGTGGTCCGCAATATGCTATACGATATGATACAATTCTTTTTGACGTCCGTATAAACATTCACATTATGTTTTTTTTTTAATCTCGACCCTCTTTAAAAAGATGACATTTTTATAGCAAATATATACGTTTATGTATAATATTCTCAAATGAAATAAGTAAATTACTACGCACTTGTCTGTTCTCTAATGTAACAAGATGCAAATATTCAATTGTTTAAATACGTCTTGCTCGAAATAAAACATTATTTTCCCGTAATCACGATGGGTATCATGACCAATCGAAATTCATGACCAACCGATAAGATCTTTGGGGTAATATCTAATCTCACGTGCACCAGCGTTTCTTCAATATCTTCTTGCATTAAGATTTTCCCTTTCAATTGGGGTCGCCTGCCGACGACCACCACTGCNGATGAGAATCACCCAGCATCCCTGTTCTTGGAGTCTGTACGAGACTCATTTTTAATCCAGAACATCACCAAGCCAACCCATTTTAGGGGTAAACAGACCCCAAATATTCTAGATCTTGTGTTTACTAGTGAAGAATCAATGATAGATGAGCTTCGCCACGAGGCTCCGTTGGGCAAAAGCCACCACCAATCATTGTTTTTCAATATTAAGTGTTGTGCAGAAAAGACGCTTCGGAAACGTGAACGTTTGAACTTTACGAAAGGCGACTATGATAAACTCTGTGAAGCGGTGAATGCGACGAATATTTCGGACTGAATTAAGGACATGAATTGGGCTGATTCACCGTCATTACCCAAAGAATATGGTCATTTCTCCTAAGATTACGCTTGAAGGAGTCAAAAAGTCCCAGTGGATGAACAGTACAGATAAAGCTCAGCTAAAGACCAAGGCCTATACTTTCAAAAAAAGTTAAGAGATCGTAAGTTCATCAGCCAATCATTGACGGCCTTTCAAGCAAAATCCACCAATCATAGACAAGAAAATAGAGCGTAAGTACTTACGTTCACTTAACTAGTTTTGAAAGTATGGCCCCAAGAAGGAAGCCTACAAGCGTAATTATTTACGAACTCGCAGCGATTCTGATTATGACCTGCATGCAATAACTCGAAATCAATTGCTAAAAAAGATCTGTCGCACTGCAGTGAAAAACTTCGAGAAAAAAAACTATTGCTAAAAACATAAAAAATAATCCGAAAGCCTTCTTCTTGTACGCTAGTTCGAAGTGTAAGTCAAAGAATGGTATATCTGATTTGAAAGTAGACCAACGAAAGATTTCCTCTGATGAGGGCAAGGCTAACGTTCTTAATCAGTTCTTTAAGGCTTGTAGTCAAAATGCAGCGAAGTCTGAGGGCGAGGTTTTGGCGACCATCGTGTAAAATCCTTGATCTGCCCAAAGCTCGGCCAGTCGCTACCCTCGAGCTTGTACTCTTTGTAATATGATATCCTAGCCAGACCCTTCTTCGCGGCAACTGGTCGCTTTCAGGTGGCCGAGGAATGGCCAACGGTCGGCTATAACTAATTGGACTGGGCCGACCACTGGCCCAGTATTATTCTTCGCCTCTCATTGAGTTCCCGGCATCATGCCGCCCGTCGTGAACTGACAGTCGAGTAATTTACTCTTTCCCCTCAAACTTTCCACAACGCCTCCATTTGAGCAGCTAGTATGCGGGATTTTCCCTCCGCGTAACAACAGACTCGATCATTACTATTTTTCGGTAAAAAATATCTACAACAAGGAGGCTGATCAAGGAATGCCGAGTATACCATTCAATGAGGAAAAAAAATTACAACCCGTTTACATCTCGAAAAAAGTAAAAAAGTCGCAGACATGATGAACAATAATTTTCAAAGTTTATTGAAATTTCCTCTCATTAAAACTTTTAATACAAAGTTTACATATTTTTTGTTACTGGTCGACGCTTATAAATAAATAGATGGGTAAGTATGGAAAAATCCATATCGCCATCTCATTTGCGAGTGGAGTAAAGTCTATCCTAATTAGTGAAGAAACGCATAGGGAAGAGCCGAGCC